TATCTTAAAATAAACTAGAACTTTTATATCTCTTAATGATACGGCTTATATAAACACCACCACAACAGTACCAACTATCATGAAGTAAATAGTAAACAGAATGTGAGAGTAAGTAAATGAAAAGGAGAGCAAAATCCACATCATGTTTGCTTCTCTCATCCTGGGAACTATTAATTCTGATTATTTATTCTGACTTTATTTTAGCATATGAATTGGGGGGAGAGAAAGGAAAACAATTGATAGTAAAATTACACTTAAGAAAATTAGGTAAAAAAGTCATATTTACCTGTCATGAGGCAGCTTAACAACTAAGAATTAACAACAAAGCATTGAAGAGACCTTCTGGGCCATCAATGATCTGCTATTGCACAGTTCCTGTCACACAATTATTAAGTTTTTTGTTTGGTATTTAATGCCCAGTTGTCTCTACCCCACTGCTTCAATGGCCACATGTCAAATCCCTGCAGGATGCTTGTTTGCTCACTTTGCCCATGAGTTCCTCACTGTGTGATTCATGCAGGGGAAGCACTGAGGCACTGCGCACCTGGATGGGCATTGTCCAAACGTCTGCTCTCGCCTGTGTAACATCTTGTGTTTTCTGTTTCGTGCTTCCTGACAAGTACTGGTTTGCTGTCAGTCATCCTCAGTGACAGAGGAACAGCTGAGGAACAACAGACTATTATTAAAGCAGCATTAAAAATTAGACTTATTAGACGAGAAAACCATACAGTAAATAAAGCAGATTCCTTTGTTCACCAACATATCTTCATTATTTTAAGATTATATTTTAAATATCATATCTATATTATAGCTATGACATTAGTTATTAAGTTATTGTTATTTTTAATTAATTAATTATTATTATTTTAATTAATTTACTTTTAATTTTATCTTATTTTCCTTATCAAATGGTTTCCTTATAAAATTTTCTTTATAGAAGTGCTACACAGAAAATCTTAAGCAGCAACATTTTATGCATACATTAATAGTAAATTATTTTTTAAATAACTTCTAAGAAAAGAAGGTATGATTGGTTTTCTTACAGCTCAAGTAATTTACAGTGTTACAATACCTCTGTGAACTCTGCACACTGAAAAATTAGACAGTCTTCAAAGTCCCAAAATCCTACAAGTTTCATGGTAAAAAATTGCTGGTTTTCAATAGTTCCCTATTGATTATTGACAAAAACTACTCATGTTCCTGTGGATCTCCATCTACTTGAGCATGAGCAACAAGTTTCCATGGCCCTAAAGCAAAATTACAGAAGAGGGTATTATCAAAATTTTTTTAGTAAGAAATCTGAAAAAAATGAACTGTCACAATCTCAAATACAGTGACAAATAAAGCCCAAATCATCAATGAAAACAACTCCAATTCTTTATCATCTTTGCACCATCTGTTAGCAACTGTTTTCCCATTAAAATAACAGGTGTAAATGCTCCTTTGTCCTCCTTGTACTTTCCATAGATTGAGATAAGATTTTTCTGTGGTTTTGGGGTGTTTTTTTAATAAGGATGTGAAAGCTTGATGTGGACAGTAAATGTCTCTTCATAGAGCCAAGTTTAGAGGAGTGAAGGATGCAGTAATGACAATAGGAGAGGAAGACATGAGCATTCCTAACCCATCTTAGGCTAAACCTACTTGGGACTTTAGCCAGGGAAGCTGAACAGGGAGTACAGTTACATCTCCCTAGAATTCACAAGGTGAAGCGCTTCATGGTGGAGAATGGCTCCAGACAGCTGAGACAAGACCAAAACCACAGCTTATATAGGAGAGATGAGAAAAGTTGGTATCAATATGTACAATATCATGTAAAGAGGAGCAATCAAAGACTGGACATGGAAACTATTCACATTACCCCAGACCTGTCTGTATAGCCAGACTTTAGCCACTTTAGCCCAGTAAGTGGAGACCTCCCTGGTTTGCTGACAGTGAAGACTTCAAAACAGATCAAAATATCCAAAAAACCAAGCTGAGCTTGGAGGAACTCTGAAAATAAAAAGCAGCAGGGCAGCACAAAGGCAGCAGAGCAGCATTGTGATGAGAAGATATATGATATCATGGGGATTAATTTAAAAAATTAAAGAATATTTCAAATTATTAAAAGGAAAATAAAATTCTTATTCTGTCACCTCTCTCCATGCAGTATAAGCCGAAAATAGAATGGGGTGACTGCAATCACTGTACTGTTGGTTTAACACATAGAAACAACTGAAAGCGATCATTAATAGTGTTAAAGTACAGATGCTGACATCTTGTATTTTCTTTCCTGACCATCAGAGATTTGATAGCAGTTTCTGTGCATAACCAATAACAGTTGTATAAGTAGGCAAGTAAAAAATTTACAGCCTCTTCCCATCAAATACCAACTCCCAAAAGTTTAAAGAAAGTTTTTTAACTTCATGCTATTCCAAAATATTATTTTCCAAACTTCCATTACCTTGAATTTACCATTTTTCTACATTAAAAGTTTTAGAGGAAATAAATCTTTCAAGGAAGAACTGATAAAACAGGCAAGTCATAGGAACTGAATGTTAAACAAAAATCTCAACAAGGTAACCAAAGGTGCTAAGCTGGATGTGGACAGTAAATGTCTCCTCCATTTACATTTCACTTCTGTATTTTCTGTTACAGATATAGTGGGGGTGAGAAAGTTTGTTCTCACATAGGCAAGAACCTTTACCCATATGATCACAAGACTGAGATGAATTTATTTGATTCCCTAGCACACATCCTCAAGACAACCTCCCTATGCCAGGCTGCAGGACAGAGCAACTGTGTCAGCTGGAACCTTCACCTCCAAACCTGAGTGTTTCTGTTAATTGATGTGTTTGACTTGCACTGTGCTACCAGCAGCAACCACCTCTGAGTCATTTTATAAGACTACAGAATGCAACAGTGGAAAGAAAATCAACAAATAAATAAAAGTGTAAGACGTTACTCATCTGTCACTTGCAATTAGACATGAGAGACAGAAAATCCAGAGTTATTTGTCCTTTACACTAACTAGTTAAAATTAAGCATTCCTGAATAAGCCCACTTGCAGCAAGAGCAGAGAAAGCTACTTTGGATGGACTAGAAACACTAGAAGCAAAAAAGATTTACTGTTTACAAGCAGTAAGCTTTAATAGCAGCAATTTGAAAAGGAAAAACTGAATACTTATTTTGTAGATATTTTGTGTTCTGTGTGCATTGCTCCCTCTAGTGTAAAAGACAGAAAACACAACAAACATTCTCCAAAAAATCACTGAGATCGGTAACAAACTTTTTTTTTAAAAAAAAATTATTTTCTAGTCAAATTTTCCCCTTAAATATTTATACAATAATTGCTCATATTTTGATACAATAAATGACATTTTCACATCGTTTAAACTGATGATGTAGGTCCCACATTTCTATTAACAGGAAATGATCACAGCAGAACTGAGCAGTGGATGTGCAAACTTCCAGTCTGTACTTACAACTGTAACACTCCCCAAGAAGCTGGCAAGCCAGAATGTGGCGTTCCAGTTTCTATCTCCATTAGAACACTAATTTCCATTCTATGTTGTTATTATTACCTTCATAGAAGAACCTGGTCTAAAACACAGTGAAGTACACTCCAGTATGCACACATTCATCTGCCTACTGTATCTGGTTAGGCCCTAGAATTTCGAAATAAGGCAGCTTTGGAGCTCAGACTTCCTAAGTAGGTACGAAATCTGTTAAAAACACCCAAGTCAGAACAAAGACTGGCAAGTCTGAGAAATTATTTTAAACTTCAACCCAATCTTAAGAGCCACTAGATGATCCTGGACTTCATCACAAGAGAGTATGGGAACAGCAACTGACACTGCTGCAACCTCCCCTCGACAGGGTCTGGGAAGAATTCCTGGGACAGTTTCCATCACATAACCAGAACAAAAATAAACAAGCCTTTCATGTCAGTTTCATCGAAAGGTGCAGCATGCTTTTTCAGGATACTTAACAAGCTTCTTTTAATCAGTCAAGTTTTCCAGCTGATAATTCTCATAGGCAGCACATTTTCCTTCACCAACAACTGACGAAATCATCTCTGAAAAGTCATAAAATAAGACTCAGAAGTCTTGAGCAAAATTTGAACTAGAGCTTTTCCTGATAATGTGATTTAAAAAAAAGTTCAAAAATAATTAACGCTTTTTTTTGCAAAAATGAGCTCTTTTCCACCCCACAATATTGCTAGTGTGCGAGGCAACTGAGAACGTAGGAAGCCTTCTGAAGAATCATTTTGCACCTCTATGCTTTCTTTTTTATGGGACTTCATATTTCACAGGTATGAACATTCTTATCATACAAGTACTGTCATCTTCCAACTTCTGTTGTAACAGCATTTCAGCTTTCCAAGGTCCATGACAGAAAAAAGGCCCGTTTCTCTGTGCACCAAATGAGGTTGTGAATCATTAGCTAGTTTTACACATACAAAATCTGAGTACATTTTGTGGAACCAACCTGAAATAAAATCCGATGCAGCGTATTTTTTTAATATCCTAACAGAGTCCTAATGATGACAAGTGGTTCTACTGTCTCAACACTGCCCAAATTAGGCTCCATTCCCTTTAAAGAAGGGCATGATTGTATGTCAGATCCTCAAAGTTATTATATTAAATGCAAACAACCAGATTTTAATTTTTCTAACTGATGTGGCTGCTGTGGCCATCAGAGCAGCATACCTCAGTGATGGTCCTTCCAGGGTACCTGCCATCACTGCTCTCCCTAAAGCTGGGTCTGCTGTCAAGTCTGAGAAAACTATTTGCTTGATCATTTGTAAAGTTTATCCAACTCATCCCTAATTACCAGGGTCCATGACAGGCAACTGGTCTCAGCTGCTGGAATACCTCCTATGCAAAGGGCTCAGTAAGGACAATGCTGGGTGCCACAGGAAAACATTCAGCTTCTCGGCCCAGTGCCTCTGGAGCAGCTCAGTCATGGAGTAAGAAAATGGGCACTGCAGCAAAATCTCAGGGGCTAAATTCAGGACAAAATTTACAGTTGAGAAAGAAATTTTATTTCAAGCTTCTACGGGGGTATTACAAACAATAGAGAATAAAAACATTAAAAACTATTTAAAAAGTAATTGTCCCTTTAAAATAAAGATTCAAGCAGGTTTAACAATGAAGTATGCTATTCAATGAAGTTTTAAAAAAAAGATTTAAAAAGTATTGGTTTTGCTGTATTTGCTAATCCTTTATAAAAAAGCTGGGCATAAATACTTCGTGCATTCATATGCATTATTTGGTGTTTCATATTATATAACTTGGTACAGTATTTACGATATCACTGCAAAAGAGTTCAAACACAGTGCATTTATAAATAATGGAGCCATTATAAATCACATTGCAAACATACCTTGCCATTTTCATTGTTACAAATTCAGTATCTCAGTGAAGGTAGGAATAAAGTAGCTACAACAATCAATATCTTGACTTTATTTTTTTTCTTTTTAATATAAAAATGCAGTTCTGGAAACCCACCCTCCTTCTTCCCCCTGCCCAAACATAATGCTTTACTTCTTAAAAATAAAAATAAAGTACTAATTCTATATACATCACATGTACCATACAAAAATGTATCCAAAGTTTCTATTGCTACCAAAGTGTTCTAAATTAAAAGTTACATAAATCCCCTCATTGGAAACAAAAGATTACAAGTTACCAAAAAACCAAATTACACACAAACCATCGAGTTATTTTATACAATTTCCAATACATTTTTCTCCCAAACCAAGTTGTCTTCTCATGTGCCTGTATAAAAATGCATATCAATATATTTGTCAATTTTATTTTTCATTATAAAGCAAATTAATACATTTTCTACAATAAATAAAACACAGGGAGGCACACATATCAACAAAATTAAACCAATGGGAGATATATGGGATATGGTTTTGAAAGAAATAATGTGCTTGCAGGCTTTAAGCCAGGTTTGTTTAAAACAGTAACAACCTTAAGTCATTTTGGGCAATAATGGAGTGTTTTTGGTGATTTGCAAGTGATGTACATAGTATAATTTTTATTGATGTCTTTTTCACAAAGTACCCTCCAAAATAATGCAACTTCCTTTCTTAAAATACATATTTGTAATTGAAAATTTACATCAATCTTAAATATGTGGTACTTTGTGCAAAGAGCAACAATTTACACAAACATTCAGAAGTCTTTTTCAGAAGCTACAGACCAAGGAAGAAATGATACAAGCAGCACCATACTGTATATGATTTAGGCAAACATATATTTGATGCCATTTTGATATTAGGCTTTAAAATCCACTAAACACCTCAAGCTGGAAGATGGTGCTTAGGTAACTTAACCTCAGAAAGAAAGAAATAAAAAAGTAAAAAGCATGGAAAAAACAAAAACCAATTCCCTCCCCAACAAAATTATAAAAGGAATTAAGGAGCTACTTCTAAAATCAGAATAAGTTAAGTGTTGAATATACATTTATGTACAATTATGAACACTATGAACAAGACATTTTAACAGGTTTAGTGGAAAATCCTCCAATCTACAACACAATAAAATAATTAATCAATATGGCAATGGTGATTTAGAAGAATTGCTCAACTATTTCAAGTTTGCAGAACTCAGCCACTGAATCAACAATTAAGGGGTTGTATCTTCAATACATTCTTTTAGACAAAGAGGTTCATTAGTAGAGTTCAAGTCTCTGTGGTATTTTTCATGCCTTGCTAGAGAATCTGTGTTAGTCAATATCACTGAAGTCACTGACTGGTTCTCCATGGACTCGACTCAGGTGATTCATAGCACGATCAAAAGCAATTCTTACTGCTTTCCGTATGCTCGAGTTACGTCCTTCCATCATTTTTAACTTGTCTATGGTCTCATCTATCCCAAGGGGAACCATTTTGGATTTGGGAAGCCACTGCCTGTAAAAAAAAGGGTAATAAATAAATCTGTTAAATATAGAATAAAATCAAGAAGTCTGTCCAGAAATGTCAGGGCTACTATGCCATGTTTCTCATATTGAAGCTTTACCACCTTAAACAAAACAATAAAACACCTTTTAAGTTAGTGCTTACTTGCATTAAATATTTAAAGAACATGAAATATTAAGAAAATCTCTTCCATAAAACAGAATACATTCCAATTCAGTGATATGCACTTAGTAATTATGTGTCAACAGAAAAATCTTAGCCTAAAATACTGATGCAGTTAAAGAATAGGCAGCAGCAACTGACACTGGACATGGCTCAAGATTCACCTGACACAGTATTGTTTCTCTTCATTCTTTCCCTTCCATTAAAACAAGGAGTTTTCAGATGATGGATTTTTGCCTTAAATTTCAGGCATCTTGATTTGTTCTTTATGGGGAAAGCTAAGCTGGCAAGGAAGTTCTACTTTAGCATGCTTTTACCCTGCAGTATGAAATCCCACTAGCTCTGTATTCAGGGTACTTTTCTGTTGCAAGCTCCATACATTTCTTCAAATTCTGGACATGGAGGGGTCATAATGGAAAAAACTCTACATCCTGTTCTTCCAATTAAAGCATTCTAAATATTTACTTTAAAAGTATAAATTAAATTTATGTCATTTTCATAAAGGTTGATTGTAATCCTGTTTTCCAAAGTTACACACATTGAGGAAAACAAAAGTTAGGTCAATTAATGAATATATTTAAGATATGCTACTGTAGTCTACAATCCCAATCCTGCAAAAGGCAGAAGCCCTCCTTTTGTATAAAAATATTAGTTTGGGAGGGAGACCATTTGAAGCCAAACCAACAGGAAATCAAACAGTCAAATCTGCAAAAATTTTCTTTTAAATAAATAAAATTGGCTTTCATTTTCTTAAAGGACCCTAAACTAGAACCCTATTTTATTGAGCACACGCACTGAAATAAAATGTGAAAAGTCAGTACAAGGACACAGACAGTATGACAACAGCATGAAAAGCATCAGTCTAACCATTACCAGTTTTAATACAGATCAGAGGAAGTTTTAAGAAGGTATTTTTAAAAGAAAGCTTTGCAAGTCCTCCAGATATAAGTGACGAAGAGGAAGAAACAAATATGAAAATCCACAGGGGATAGACACTGATATCAAAGAATGAAGATGACAGACACCCTTCAAATGAATGAAAATAACAAATAGGGTTCCAGACTAAAAGACACAACAGAAATAGAACTATGAGTGCCAAAATAATCATAATAAAAGAATCGTTACCAAAAAAAAGTTGGTGGGGTGAGGGTGGAGGGGAGGAAAGGGGCTGGAAGAAGTATTGAGTCTTTTCCTGCCAATCTATGCAGAGTACCCATTACAGACAACTTTGCACAATATTTACATGATTTAGGACCACCTGCACATAGAGACTAATCAAAAAAAGTTTAAGCTGTAGAGGACTCCCCAGATCAAGAAGCAATCAGAGCAATTATTAAGAAACTGACCAGGGAAAACATGCATTACACTGGCAACACCAGTAAGAGGAAAAAAAGAGAAACAAGGCTGAGTATATTTAAATGCAGATATTCTCCACAAACAAAGGCAGAAGAATGCAGGATCTTATGGAATCCTGAGCAACTGAACAAAGATAATTAAGACAAAGTACCAATTAATTAAAAAAATAACTGAAGAACAGAAAAATTATGCCAAAAAATCTAAGGGGTAAAAGAGCAAACATCAGTTATAAATTTTAAGCAGAAATTTATTTAAGTGATAGTGTACTGGCACAGAGTGAGTCAGGGGAATGGCAGCATCACTCAATGCCACATATCATCATCTAAAGAGGAAACTAATAGCTAAAAGTAAGTAAATTCAAGAGAAAACCAAGACATGGACATATTTACAGTTAGCTTGACCTGTATGGAAACTAGGAGAGGAGAGGCTCTACAGAGAACATAGAAAAGAAATACATAGCTTGATGAATGGTAGATGGGAAGCTTCCATGTCCAGGAAAAACCCACCAAAACAAAAAACAACCCTAACAACCAAAGGAAGACGAAAAAACCTTGTGTGTCTCCTCCTACCTCCCCAGAAAAACCCCACCAGCCCTAAAACCGAAGACCATGGGGGAGGGAAAGAGAATGTTTTGTTGTGTGAATTATCCCCCTTCAGGCTCTACACATCATATTGCTGATGCTAAAATAAATGGAAATAGGGAGGGTTTGATAAAAAAATTAAAGACTAAGAACTTCAAATGAAGGTGTTAGTAAAGCACTGAATTAAAGACAGCTTAAAAATTCAAAGAAAATGCACTTGAGCAGACTGGGGGAAGAAGTGTTGTAATTCAGAAAGCAATTATGAAGGGTGATAGAGATAAATGTTAGACTATTACTTTTTAAAAACCTGTAAATCAATGAAGCAATTTCATCAGGTCAATAAATGAAAGTCACTTGTAAATAAAAAAGACTATTCAATGACTTAAAATATTTTTTTCTAAACTGACAATAAAAAGGTACCTTTCAGCGATGATATATATACCTTGGTCCAAAAATAGACTCAAATATGAAATTTTAACATTACAGTTTGCAGTTCCACAGGAATTATATTTATGGAAAAATAATGTTTCAATTTTCTTCCAGACCAAAGGTACAGGTTCTTAAAATTTTAGGTTACTGCATCAAATAATACATTTCAATAACATACCAACTTCTTTTGTTGTCAAAAAATAGTACTAAGAATAGTTTCTCATCTGATTTGGTCTGCATTTGTTCTCCAATTTTCAGTACATCTAGAGGTGGCACTGGTATAGTAACACCATTGTGATGGCCAGCAACACGAGGCATCTTAGGGTCAATAATCTGTAAAAGAGAAGAAAGGACAGGCCCTCATTTTTAAAATTATGTAATTCATTTTAAGAAGGAATTACAAATTAAGTTAACAAGATATAAATAATAAACTAAACACCCATTGGACATAAACTGACTTTGTGTTAACACACAACTTTTCGACATAAGTTGAATAAGCATAGTGGAGACCTAGTGGCAGATTTGACTGAAAACACCAAAAAAAGCAATTTTCATCCGTATCAGTTCTTCTTAATAGTCCCATTTGAATTCCACTTAGTACAACTTTAAGACTGACAAGCAGGTTTTAGAATGAAAGAGTCAAACTATAATTTCTAGAAGCTGTATCTGGCCTCAAATTTTAGGGTTTGAAATTCATGTACCTTAAAGAACCAACCTATGTTTAAGTATTTTGGTAATAAATAATATTTTGGTAAAATACATGTTCCAGACTCAAATTCTGGGGCAAAAATTTAAAAACAAAACCAAAAAAATACGTAATTTTCAAATATCTTGCATGTCCAATTTAATGACTCAGTCTTCAGCAAAACATGCAGTTACAGTCACAGTCTTTCTAAACGAAACTTGAGGGAGAGAGAGGGAATATGTTAAACTAACCAACTTGATGGAAAACTTCTTTGCAGGCAGCTCACAGCATTATGAAGTGCCTAGCTTCCACCCAAGGAAAAGTTTTTATTCCATGCCTATTTCACCCATCTCCTGCTCTATCAACTCCTGTTTTTCAACTATCCACACTGGCACCAATCTTAATCCATAGTAAACTGACTTTGGGAAATAAATTAATAGAAAGCTAATACTGTGGGGAGCTCATAGAAATCAGAAGAATTTTCTTCTCTTGACAGAAGTTTAACTCCTCAATTAACTTATCCCACTCTCAGAAACACCAATGCTCACATAAAGGAGAAGGCAGAAAAGGAACCCTTTGGTCTTCATCAGTTTCAATCTAGCACTAACGTGTTTCAAGAGACCATCATCAAATCATCAACTTTTCAGCATCTGACCCAAGTGTCTTTGAGTCACCCATTGAGGGTACCTAAACTCAAGTGCTCTGATTTCCACCTCCAGAGATTTTAACCTGACTCTTGTATGATTACATTTCATGTTGTCTTTAGAACACACATATTAAAAGCTGTGATTGTCCAGCCTTGTATATAAATCAAGCCAGTGTATGCACTGATCATATATAACCCCAAAAGCCTAAAGCCAAACACCTCATCAATATTTTCTCTGCAAGCTTTGATGTAAGCAGAACTGTGTCTGCTTCTTCTTTATTAACACACACACACACACACACATATATATATCTCCTCTATTAACAACAGCTTTAACATTCCAGTACACCATTCACAATTGGCTGCAATCAGTCAGTTTATTCCAGCTATTGAGTTTTTAGTTGCTTTAATGAGCTGCACCATCAAGAGTATTTTTATACTAATTTTGCAGCAGAATTAATATATAATGTAAAAACAGTGACTACTGAGACAAGTATGCTGGTTTTAGCAGGGACGGAGACAATTCAAAGTAGGTGGTACAGGGCTATGTTTTGGATTTGGATTGAAAACTGCATTGACAATATAAAGATGTTTTGTTAAAGCTGAGCTGAGCTTACACAGAGTCAAGGCCTCTTCCCCTTCTCACATTGCCCGACTAGTGAGGAGGCTGGGGGTGCTCAAGGAGTTGGGAGGGGACACTGCTGGGGCAGCTGGCCCCAGCTGACCTTAGGGATAGTCCATCCCCTATGGCATCATGCTCAGTATACAGAGCTGGGGGAAGAAGGAGGAAGGAAGGGACATTCAGTGTGATGGTGTTTGTATTCCCAAGCCACATGTAAAGGAGATCTGTGTTCCTGGAGATGACTGAACACCTGCAGTCCATGGGAAGTGGTGAATCAATTTGCTTTGCTTGTGTGCATGGCTTTTGTTTTCCCTTGTCTTTAAGACATTAAACCGTCTTTATCTCAACGCAAGAGTTTTCTCACTTGCACTCTTCTGACTCCTCCCCACCCACAGGGAGTGAGCAAGTGGCTGCAGGCTTAGTTGTACGACACAGGAGTGTTGCACATCTCAAAGGGCTGGCAGGGTAGCAGAAACTATTGACTTAAAATCTGGTATTGCAGTAACTTTACAAACTCAGTGCATAGTAAAGAGGGCAGAATAAGCCACCTTTATTCAACCTGAATGGGAATTTGCCAATTACCTTAAGTTTGCGCATGGTGTTTTCAGACCAGAAACAGTCACTACTGTACTTGTGGGAAGCTGGGCACTTACCAGAGCTGGGTAAGAGGGATATCCACTGCATTTGGCCCATACTACTTTTAGAGGCTCAAGAACAGATGTTGCAGCATCAGTTGAAATCCACATACTGCTATGCCCAACTTCTAAGAAAAAAGAAATAGAAAATTAAAATGTTCCAGAATGAAACCTCAGGCAAATCTGCAGTTCTTGGTTTCCTAATCAATAGCTCATGATCCTTAGAATCCAAATACCAATACCAACTTTCACAAACATACCAATAAAAACAAGGTAGTATTCATAAGAGCTCTTTACATGGTACTAATACTTTTTTCCAAGCCTACAGATAAAGAACAAGAGTTTAGACTTCTACAAATAGCATATCTAAAACATCTTCGTTCTTAGGAAACGTTTGCCAAATTCCAGTAATTCTTTCCCTTTGAAAATACTCCAAAGAAAACATAAAATTATGGTACTTCAAATAAGAGTTTCTTTTACTGTGATTACAATCTTGTCACAGAGGTGATGGTTTTCAAGATGCAATTTGCAATATATTTTGTATATATTTCCAAGTGTTGGATACCTGGATACCCACACTGAGATTAGCACCTCATAACTTAACAATACTGGTACACCTTTCTATTCTTACACCTAAATTCTAACCTGCATTTTGATTTCCATTTATTTTTAACAAGTTTTCTTGGTCTCTCTGACCTGCTCTCTCCTGCAGTCAAGTTGAAAAATGTCAACAGGTTTCCAGGTAGCAGCAATAGTGCTTAATTTCTTCTCAAAAAAGCAGGGTAACAAACAACTGAGTTTAAGTTACTGTGCCCTTCTACAGAATCCTCAATTTTCTTTGCTGCTCAGCAATAGATTGAAGCCTGAGACAGACGTAAGCCTTTCAGTCAACCAAAACCACAACTGGTCCCCTAGATACAGTTCAGAGACTGATCAGAAGACAGTGAGTTACAACCTCAAGATGGAACTAGAGGTGGTGATCAAAGGGGGAAAAGTTATCCAAGTTCATAGGCTGTAAATGTCAGGCAGCACTTCTTGTATGGGGAAACGTGGTACCAAGACAGAGTTCAGGGGCTGCAGCTGCACATTCTTTCAGCAGTCAGGCAATACTTACTGCTGAGAGAAAATGCATTTCAAATGGGCATTGCTTATTTATAATGAAAGGTGGCACACAGATACATGTTCTATCTTGACATTACAGAAACATACCAGGGCAAAAAAGTGTTTTAAGACCATTTAAAATTAGAAATAGCATGAAAAAAGTATTTAAAGCTATCACATTAAAAAAACTAGTTCAGTAATGCTGCACAGTAAGTTCTGTTTCTGTGCTCTGTTAGTAACAGTTTCTAAAGTATTCACATGTCAGTTAGAAAGAATCATGATGGTTTCAATTAATTCATCCTTCATTTACAGACTATTTCAAAAATATGTATATAGAACTGTATGTGGTACATAAAAACAGTACAAGTCCTCTTCTTCAGGACAGCTTACAAGAAAGAAATCTACACTATTCTCAGCTGCAAACAAAATGGTATTTTAATGCTGAAGAGAAAATCATACACAAATTGATGGGATGCATGCAGCCAGACACAGAGACTTCTCAGGTGTAAATACAAGTAAGAGTCTCAGAATTCCTCTTAGTCAGAGTTTATTCCACATGGTAGTAACGGGTTACTAATCTAGCACATAGGATTACCAATATTCTTTTACAAGGTCTGTAAAAGAAAAATAATCTTCTTTTTTATTTCAAAACCTCTTTATTTCCTCAAGCAAGGTGAGAAAATTAATCAAAATCAGAGTCAGATGCTATTTTTTAAAAAGTCTTTAAAGAGTCAAAAGCAGAATTCAGTAGTTTCTGGAAGGATATCAACAACACTTTCAGAAGGCTTAATGTATTTAAGCAGTAAAAATCTATCAAATAAATGTACAAAATTATACAATACTATTAAGAATTCAAGTATTTATAGTTACCAGCTGCAATTCTTGCTGCTTTGGCATAGTTTCCATTTTCAATGCATGATATCAGTTCACTTCGATCTTCCAGTGTGTGTCTCCGTATCAGGGCAGGTTTACCTTTACCACACTTCGGGAGACTAAAACTACAAAAGTATTAACATTAAAATCATTACTTGATAATTAACCTTGCTCACTATAAATCAAAATTTTGAACGAGAATTTAAATTTCATCAGTACAGAATAAAATCACTGGACCAGGCTCTAAAAATATTTTGAGTAACAAATACAAACAATATAAAAGCAAAAGCTCTTGGCTTTTATAATTCAATTCAAAACAGAATTGCCTGGTTATCAGCAAAAGATAGTTCCACTGCTCCAACAGTTCTACCACACAAAAAACACAACCATTCTCTTTAATTTTTCACTACAATTCCCAGTCTTTCCATTGTGAAATGCCTCCACTCAAAATGGGAAAATTGTTTTCTACACACTTGAGATTTCTTCAAGAAATCATAGAATCTGAACAACAATTATACTAACAATTTAATCTAGAAGATCACATTTAAAACAGAGGCAATATTAAATTATTTTTGTTTCTGAAAGCCTTTTGGACATGACTGCATTAACACCATTCTCTTTACCTGAACACATGAATAAAGTCCTCTTTCCTGTCTAACAATTTACCCTATACTCTCCTGTATGTCCCATCCTTATAGCTCAGGTCTGGAGACAGCTAACTTTCACCCAGAAATCAGTGTTCTTTCAGAAGATACACCATTGGTGATGGAGACATCAGTGGTGGCAGAAGTGTCCATTCTGACAGACTCCATGGAGACAAAGTCAATACCTGGTACAGAGTTACTATCAACACTGTAGTACCTACCCAGCCACCCACAGACTGACAACCTACAGTTCCAAAGCCATCAAACTACCTTTTTTGTGTACAAGACTCTGCTTTGTAAGTTGCTTCTCTCTTGCCCTCACAAAAATAAACACACATTTTTAGTGCTCCAGATGAGGAAGGCAATTAAGCCAAGACACTATATGCAAAAATATATATCTTCACAAAGCAAGAAAAGCACAGTCAGTTTAAAAATGCAACTGCCTGGATATGCAATAACCTGAATTCAACAGAAGAATCCCAGCAATCCTGAAAGGTATCTCGGATCTGACATAACTGATAAAATTGAAATAGACTATTTTTTCCAAAATTTATGCAATCCTCCAATGTGGGTCACAAGCAATATAGAAAACTGATATATCCAGTCTCAAATCTGTATTTCATATTTACAGTTTTACCTTGAGTTACACAAGAGACTGTTACTAGATGAAATACTAGATTCTGATGCACAGCGGCGACGAGGTTCAACTTTTCTTCCTGGAGTATCATCTAATGCTCTCTCTTTACTTTCATCTCCAAAACCATTTGATAGACCTGCAGCATAACACAAAAAATAAACTGCATCAAACTGGAAACCACACCATTTTCATTAACAACCTTTTGTATTTACACAACACATCATTAGTGTTTTGTTCTTCAAGTATTTTGGTGTGATGAAAAGAATGTGAATATTAACAAAATATGTGATTTCAAGGAACTGTTATAAATAGGAAGTTTCTGTTGTCCATATTTTAAAAACAGGATGAACCTTTAGGTAAGGTACAAAAAAAAAAAGCAAGCAGAGATTGTAACATGGGAAATACTAACAGGAGTATCAAATCAGTCTTTGCATTAATGTTTCCAACTATTAAAACAATCATGCTGCAAAAAGCTAAATAGAAAAAAAACCAAGAAAATAAAATGTTACAAATCAGGCAGATTACCAAGTCAACAAAAGGGTTATTTCAATGCAATGGTGTAATCATTAAAATCCTTTTCAAACACTGGAAGACTGATATGGATTCCTCCATGACACTATCTAATTCTTCCTGGTAGTCTTTCCATTTTAGTAAATTCAGACTGACTGATATGATGATGACTGTCTTCTGTCACCAATAATCAATAATATGCATGGTACTGTTTTTAGTTAGCCTTCCCCTAACAAAAGTTTATATACATCAAAGGATATTACATTTTAATTTCATAATTGTAATAAAAACATTAAAAAGGCTTTCACATTACAATCCACTTATTTGATGGGCTGTTGCCAATCCTGCTCTGGGTTTGCCACACAAACAGTATTGTCCTTATTAAGCTATTTCTATACTTTATTAAAGAGGGAAATGAAAAGTTTCAAGATGGCATTCTGAAGACTTTCCAGGGTGTGTGGGAGTGTATGTGGTGGTGTGGCCATTAGGACTAACACGGAAAGAATCCCACAGAGACTGCAGAATATAATCAGAAATGCACTCAACACAGGCAATGGTACCAGCCTGCAATCAGCCACTGCAAACTGCAGGCTACAAAGAAAACAACATTTTAAAACAAATTCAATTCTGGGCATGTCACTCCCAGCACAAGGAAGACCTACCCATCCCAGCCATCCTTACCACTACCAAAGACTTCAAGACCATCATGATCATTGTACATTCAGACACAGTCAAACTAGGTTATGTAACTTCACATGCCCCTCCACAGAGCCTTTTACTGTAAAACACTTATGGCAAAACTCCCTTTATGAATTCTTTCAGTCTGTTTGCTACAAAGAAGGCTGATAACTAAGGAACTTTCAAGTTACCTTTTACAATCCAGTAATTTTTCAAGCATTTCCATATAGTGACTTATAGGATTTTTCCCCTCCACCCCAGGAGACCTTCCATTTGGACTGCCAATATAATTTCAGATTTTTGAGAGAAAAAGGAGTATATTTACTCAAGGTTCTGAAAGATTTACATATAAGCATTCTCTTTCCTTGTCATCTAGTTTACACTGTAAATATTCATTCATGAATGTTTGTTTTGTAACTCCTGTATTTGCCTTTGATTTCCTACAGAAGAAAAATGGTAAAGGAAGCATTGTCCTGAGTGACAAGCACCAAACTATTCATCAGTGGTATTCATTAATCTTGTTCTCACTCTCAGCAAAATGATAAAAATATCTGTAGATTAAGGAGGAGTTTGGTCTTAGACTGTACTGGAACAGAGTATGCTTTATGAAAAAGTGTATAGGAGAATTTAAATTATCACAGTACATTTCACACAGCATTTGAAATGAAAAGCTAAAAAAACCATTCTGCAAAGGACATCTCTTATATCTCTGCAAAAAATACTTGTTATTCTTCAATATTCCGTCAGATTTATCTTTCAAGTGAGATGTATAAACTGTTTGGTTTTCATCCTGCCACAAGCTGGAGACACATTACTCAAGTTATCACTCAGGCATCTAGCTAATGTGAAGCAGCTATCAGCAGAAACAAGTCAGATCACAGACTGACTTTTAAACAGGAAGACAGATCAAGTAATGATTGCTGCCAGAACAAGGGCACAGTTCACATTCAAAGTGGAAAGAAGTACCTGTATTAAGAGCATGTGCAAAACATTTACCCATATATAAGCCACATGTGACTTGGATGCTTATCTCTGCATACACTGGTTTTGTACATGCATACCCAGGACAACAGGGGCTTCACATTTTTGTTATTTCAATCTGTTTATGACTGTGCTGTCACCAAAATGGGCGTTCTGGCACTCTCAGTCACTGGCAATGGTGTCTTCTCTTTGTCAACAAGTCAGTACCAAGAAATGGTAAGGAGCCAGTTTTAAGCAACACACTGGACAAAGCAACCATGTAATCGCCTGACTGCTGAAGTTAAGAAACAAGGGATACAGCAGAAAGATGCAACTATAGCAACAGAGACAGCTCTCTGAGGTGGCAGTCCAGCCCTATTCTACTTTACATATAAGCTGTGAGTTTAATGACTCACTTAATTCACTTCAGATTACAGTAAAAAGTGTTTTATCCATCTGCAGAAGAGTTGCTAACAGTGGTGTCCTGGTTTCTGCTGGAATAGAGCAAATTTTGTTCTGAGCAGCTGGTACAATGATGTATTTTGATTTGAATGTTGATAACACACTGAGTTGATGAGCAGTGCTGACAGTAAGTAAAGGACTTTTCAGTGCCTCTGCCAGTAAGCAGGTGCACAAGAAACTGGGAGGAACCATGGCCAGGACAGCTGACCCAAACTAGCCAAAAGGATATTCCACACCATGAAGTGCCATGTCCCATACATAAAATGATGGGACTTGGCTGGAAGGGGCTGATCACAGGGCTGGGCATTGGTTAGTGGGTGCTATGCAACAGTATTGTGCATCGCTTGTTTCTCCTGGGTTTTATTCCTTTTTCGTATTATTATTACTACTATATTTTACTTTTTTTTAATTATTAAACTGTTCTTATCTCAACCCAGAGGTTTTACCTTTTTCTGATTCTCATCCCACTGTGAGGACCAAGGATTGGGAAGTGAGAGTCGCTGAGTGCTACTTGGTTGTCAGCTGGGGTTAAACTATGGTAATTGAGGAAAAAAACCCAAAACATTTTTGACAAAAAAGGAATACTAAAGTGCAAAAGAATTTAGAGCTTCCCAGACATATTTCTCTCTTGTTTGTGGAAGTATGAAAAACAAAGAACATGCAATTTATCAGCAGGAGTAATTTTCCTGAGCATCAAGCCCCAAATGACAGGAGCTTACACAATCCATGATACTCCAGTTTATACAGTTCATGTTTCAGAAGGTATAAGGAATAGGCATTATTTTAAGAAAGGAAAACCTCAAGGCTTATGTTAAGCAAAACACACTCATATCTAGTCATAGATGAAGTGGTTCACAAGTGACCTTCTAACTTGCCAGAAGAAAAGGAGGCAATAAACCCTAAGTGCTTTATGGTAGTAGCACTGATGTGCAAAAAAAGATCAGATATACTACACAACTTGGTTTCTGTTATATCATTACAAAACTATTTTCTCATGAATCATGAAACACCCAATGTCCTGTAGCTGAAGTAAGTGAAATTAAAGATCTCCATTTGCTTTAAGGAACTTGCATTTTATAGAATCAGTAGATATAACTCAGAAGGCCAAATAAAAAAAAATCCATGAGACCTAACTCATCCTGCTTACAACTTTCCACAAGCTCATGATTTTGTTAGATCAAATGAGCTTTCTCTACAGTCATGGAGTGAAATTTTATATCAGGTACTAAACTTCTTACACATATTGCCTCATCAATAGCACTAAAAGCCTTTCATTAGAGGCTCACTTCCTTTACTTTTCCCCTCTGTTCTTAAGTTTCTTAAAAAAGGAGTCTACTCTCAAGAGGCAGAACTTAACTTTTTTCAATTAAAAAGGGAATTCTCAAACGATGAAGTCTGCTATCAATCTTAAATGCAGGGTTACTGCCATTTCTCATCTTCTGCTCAACTTCAAATTACATGGAAAATTTACTGCCTTGCAAATCGCAGCATAACACAACCATTTTGAAAATAAAGAAATGCTAATTAAGAAGAAAAAAAGTAAGACAAAGATGATCAGCCTGATACTTTTCCACAGGTCTTTCACTGCACTGAAAACTGAATTTATTAGGCAAAGTTTTAACTTTTTCTCAGAGTGCCAGTTTGTTCTTAGACTGCATTTAAAACTTTCACTGCCTACCTACATCAAGCAAGTTGGAATCTTTTTGCCCATACTCAATAAATGGAATCAGGAAAAGGTAATTTCCAGAAGAGAGCACAAGTCTGGAAAACATGGTAGAGGAACAAAGCTCAATATATTCCAAAGAGCAGCACAGCATATCTACAAATGTACAAAATGCTGCCCCAGAATACAGAATTGTACATTTCAGACTGTAATCACACCTTACAGTTCTGCTGAAACAAAAAGAAGCAGAATTTGCACAAAACTATTCTAAAGCAATTAATACTGTACTATGTGTAGCTTGATGCAAAACCAAGCACATCCAAATGTAAGATGTAAGTGCTCTCCTAAAACTAGACCTGAAGGGCTGAGGTTCAACCACTAAAAAACCTGCGAGCATTCAAACAATGACTGCACACAGTGCAACCAGCACTTCTAGAACACTATTTAGCTTCATTTTCAGTCACGACTTGTGCACTTACCCAGAACCACTGATGTTACTCTTCATTAAAATATATACACTGTAGAGGAAAATGTGTATTTTATTTTAAAAACCCTTTTTTTTCTGGTAGGTTTCATTTCTCCAAGGAAGATGAGACTGTTTTTTTGGGGGAAGGGAAGAGGATGGAGATGTAGCATTCTCAGCTAATCTGCTCTCACAGAACATGTTCTGGGAATAAGACTGTTGGGACTGGTGAAACTCTGCAACCAGTGTGTGTCACATATACTACAACACGTACAACTTTGTAACTTACGGAAATGGGGCAATATATTGAATGAAGAGCATAGTTTCATATGTGTCAAAGACTTCCTCCAAGAGTGTTCATTTCTATTTGTTTTTTGTTTTAAGGATGGCTGGTGTCTCC